GGTCTGTATGTGGGATCCGAACCCTCGGCAGGAGCACCGCCGCACTCCCAAGCGGCGCACTGTAGCAGTGCGCCACCGGGCCAGCCCTTGAGCAGTTTTTATTTAAGAAACACTTCTATTTTTTTTCCCCGTTGATAATCTTTGCTCATTTTCTATTGATTGTTGGTCCTTTTCTAATTGGTTTGGAGGAACTCCTTATGTATTATACATCCTTTTTCTGGATATAAGTTTTAAATTACTTTTGCCAATTTGTCTCAATATTGCTTATGGTATGTTTTACTTTCTATCACTTTAAAAAATAGATTTGACAATTGTAGTGTGCCAGACACCATATCGTGTGTTTCATGTGTGCAATCTCATTTAGTCTACACTAGCCTTTAATGAGGTACTATCTTATATTTGAGTGAACTAGGGCTTAGACAGATGATATAATTTGTCAATGTATAGTAGAGTAGGGATTCAGACACACTTTTGGCAGACTGAGGAAAGGGAACTTTTAAAGCGTTATTCTGGTCTTTGAAAGCTGTGTGCCCCATCATTTGTCTTCATAGCAGTCCCACCCTATCCTCAATACACCAGGCTGTAGGTGTTAACATTGAAGTTAACCTATGAAGCAGCTCATTAGACAAAAGCAATGTGTGCTCACCATTATCCTTTGATGGGATAAAACTAGTCACCCTTCAAATCCATTTAAAAGGCCCCATGTTGGGACTGACGCAATAGCCAGTTTCTCTGCAGTGTCCAGTGATAGAATGAGTAGTTTCTTCATCAGCTCTACGTAAAGTGGTTAGCTTGAGTGGGGGGATGTGCATATTTCTTTCGATGGGAAAACCACTCTCAGTGAAACAAGACGTCTGCACTGAGAGGTGCCTGGGAATCGCCTTCTTCCATTCCCCCAGGGAACGGTGCATTTGTTCATCCCAAGTCTCAGGCAAAATCTTTGTACTATTAGTATTGTTTCTTTTTTTCTTTTTCTTTTTGGTCCAAGATGGTGTAATTGAATTGGCATAAGTTAAATATACATCTGCTGCAACTCAACTGTATTTTTTTAAAAAATTAAAACATTGTGCATGGAGAATTGTTATATGTTTATATTATTTCACAGCTACTTTCAAAAACTTGAAGACAATTCAACCCCCTTGTTTACTATCATCAAAAACCTTTATTTAACGTTTTTGCTATTCTCATTCAATAACAATAAGTTAGAAAAGGAATCTCTACTTCTACTATAGTCATATCAACAAACACTTAGGAAGTGCTAGACAGACGTTTGCTTCCCCTGACTCCCTTTTAAATTACTTTTGCCAATTTGTCTCAATATTGCTTATGGTATGTTTTACTTTCTATCACTTTAAAAAATAGATTTGACAATTGTAGTGTGCCAGACACCATATCGTGTGTTTCATGTGTGCAATCTCATTTAGTCTACACTAGCCTTTAATGAGGTACTATCTTATATTTGAGTGAACTAGGGCTTAGACAGATGATATAATTTGTCAATGTATAGTAGAGTAGGGATTCAGACACACTTTTGGCAGACTGAGGAAAGGGAACTTTTAAAGCGTTATTCTGGTCTTTGAAAGCTGTGTGCCCCATCATTTGTCTTCATAGCAGTCCCACCCTATCCTCAATACACCAGGCTGTAGGTGTTAACATTGAAGTTAACCTATGAAGCAGCTCATTAGACAAAAGCAATGTGTGCTCACCATTATCCTTTGATGGGATAAAACTAGTCACCCTTCAAATCCATTTAAAAGGCCCCATGTTGGGACTGACGCAATAGCCAGTTTCTCTGCAGTGTCCAGTGATAGAATGAGTAGTTTCTTCATCAGCTCTACATAAAGTGGTTAGCTTGAGTGGGGGGATGTGCATATTTCTTTCGATGGGAAAACCACTCTCAGTGAAACAAGACGTCTGCACTGAGAGGTGCCTGGGAATCGCCTTCTTCCATTCCCCCAGGGAACGGTGCATTTGTTCATCCCAAGTCTCAGGCAAAATCTTTGTACTATTAGTATTGTTTCTTTTTTTCTTTTTCTTTTTGGTCCAAGATGGTGTAATTGAATTGGCATAAGTTAAATATACATCTGCTGCAACTCAACTGTATTTTTTTAAAAAATTAAAACATTGTGCATGGAGAATTGTTATATGTTTATATTATTTCACAGCTACTTTCAAAAACTTGAAGACAATTCAACCCCCTTGTTTACTATCATCAAAAACCTTTATTTAACGTTTTTGCTATTCTCATTCAATAACAATAAGTTAGAAAAGGAATCTCTACTTCTACTATAGTCATATCAACAAACACTTAGGAAGTGCTAGACAGACGTTTGCTTCCCCTGACTCCCCAGGGACTGAAAACATAAGGATGGATGGAGTCAGAGTCTAATCAGTAGACGGAAGACACCTGCTAATTACAACAGGGAAAATTCAATATAAAGAGTTGTTAACTAGTGAAAAGGTTGTTAACCACTAAAAGGGGTAAAAGAGCACCCTTAAGGGATACAGAAGTAGGAAAAGCAGAAATCAGCTACTACCTCTGGGATAGATAGAAAGTGATCCAGAAACTGAGAACTTAGAAAAGCCACTCCCTTGCCTGCCCAAAACTCAGATTCTGGCCTTTTAGGAGGCCAGCTACTGCAAAACCTGGAACCTCCTGTGGTTAGGGCACAGTTCAGAGTCAGTCTGTAGGAGTGGCCCATCAGGTGGCAGAGAAACTTACTGGAGGACAGAGGACCTGCACAGATGCTTCCCTCACTTTCTTTAGGTCTTTGCTCAAATACCAGAGTTTCAGAGAGACCTTTTCTGACTAGCTTATTTAAACCTGCAACCCCACCCTGACACTTCCTGTCCCTCTCTCTACCTTATGTCATCATCATTGGACATGCTACAGCAAATCCTTGAACAACATGGGTTTGAAGTACATGGGTCC